ATTGTAGCAAAGTGTAATTGTCCCCTGGTGTGAGGAAAGCTTTAAGATCAGTAGCTAGTGCCTCTCCAAAAATTGTAGGAAGTCTAGCCTTGTGGAAGCCTAGTCTAGGCTAGCTGTTCCTTTAAGCCTGTGAGGAATCCTCCCATTGAAATGTAAAGGTGGGCTGACTGACTGATGCAAGGTGCAGACAGCAGACAGCAAAAAAAGAACAACCTTTTAAGTCTAAGCAGGTAAACTATGCAGAACTTCCTGGAATGAGCCCCATCAGCATGTATGGATTTGGCATCATTGGGCGAATAGCCTCAGTAGCCTGCTTTGCAGCATGCAAACCCTGTACTGGCCTATATTCACTGGTCCCAGGCTTAGGACCTGGCAAAGAAAGGGTGTTCCAGCAAGAGTGACATCTAGTTAAGACTCCTTGATCTATGAGCCATTTCAAACATCCTTCAATACCTTGTATAGACTCCCAGGAGGCGGGGGTGGGGGGGTGCGGGGATGGATATTAGTGAATTCTAATTGGAGTTGCCCCTGGCTTTAATTCTACTATCACTGGTGCTTGACTTATAGCCATCCCCCCAGGGGGTATCTTCAGACCATACCCCAGGAATCTTACATGCCAGTCCAAGTAGCTCACCTATTTCTGGCTTTTTGACTTATCTAATTACAACCTCCATTCTTCTGTTTGTGGGACAGAAAGGGCTAACGCTACAACCTTTGGTTAGGTCAAATTTATAGTTACTTCTCCTCGTGGTCCAAAGGTATTTGGGGCTTGAAGCTTTTGGAGTGAGTATCTCCCTAACAAGGGAACTGGAGAGTCTGGGAGATACAGGAACTCATGTTGGACTTTTCATCCTGCTATGACACATCTTTTAGACTAAAAAATGGCCTCTTTTCTGGGATTTCAGTGGCTCCCACAATAGTCACATTTTTCTTAGACAGTGACCCAAGGGATTGTGTCACTACCAAGTGCTCAGCTCCACTGATCACTATAAAATCCATCTGTTGGCCCCCTATTTTCATTGTGACCGTGGGCTTTTGGAGCCTAGAGAGATGGAGCCTAGTTTGGCCTAATCACCACAGCTTTCCGTTCCCACCAGTCTGATCAGGTCTGTTTCCTGTTCTCCCTGTGAGCAGCTCTTGGGGACGAGGTCTCTGTTCTCATAGCCTCTGCTATCCTTTTTGTCTTTTTCTGGACATTCATCCTTCCAATGCCCGATAGTTTTGCTCCATGCACATTGACTACTGCTGGCTCTCAGGTCCCTATCCAGTCAGACCTTTTCCTTTTCTCTTTCACCCCCATCCCTTGGTGACCTCTGACTTTTTCCCCATGAGTACTGCTGCCAGCAGATCTGCCTTTATTTTAAGCTTTCAGTCAGCCTCTCCCTTGGTTTCTTAATCATGGTTAACATACTTTAGTGGCTACTTCCAAGAGCTGAGTGGCATTCATGCCACCAAAGCCCTCTAGCTTCTGTAATTTCTGCTTGATGTCTCCTTAGGCATGTCATTAAAAAGCTGCATTTACCATGCACTGATTTTTGGCTGTTTCTTGGGTTAAACAGAGTACAGAGCCAAAATGTCTCACAAAGTCTCTCACAGAATTGACTGGGGCTTTCCTCTGATTTTTGGAACATCTCTGAAACTTTTCCCATATTTATGGTTTTCTTGCTTCCTGCCTTCAAGCCTTCTGCAGGCTTCTCAATATTTTGTTATTCTATTATTTTTTAATAATAAAATATTATTTTAATATTTTATTGTAATCTCTGGTTACAGCATTTGGGTCCCAATTTGATTCAGTCTCAGGGAATACACTTTGAACATATGCTTAGACATTCATCACTCCTGCAGGGGCATGGTCCTCTAACCAGTGGAGGGCTGCCTGTGTCCCTCTTTGGTGCTCTTCTGTATTGCATAGCATCAGGAGAAGTTGTTTACAATCTTCCCAATTTGGGTTGTTTGGAAGATGGATTGCATTAGATCTAATAAAAAAAATAAGGGAAGGAATTAGGGGTGGAAGGAAGGAACACATGATTTTCAGTGATTGAAATCTTTTTTACAAGGAAAAAAGAGGACTTATTCAAGTTTTGACTATATCTGAACTTTCATTAACTGTTTTACTTTCTTCCCCAAAATAAGTTTAGATCTATGCCTTACATCATAGGCAAAATTGTATTCCAGATAGATTAAAGGCTTAAGTGTAAAATGCTAAAAGCTAATACAATAAAATGTAGGAAATCATCTTTGTAGCCTATGAGTCAATAAAGTTTTGCTCAACACGAAACTAAATCCTCAATTCATAATAACACATGTGCGTGTTTAACTTCATCAAAACAAAGAACTGTGGTTCAATTCAATGATGACTTGAACTGTGGTTGGATTCAATTCAATGATGCCCTAGAAAAACTTAAGAGACTTAAGAAGACAGTCAATAGTTAAAGCCAAACGAGATTAATATATGGATTATACCCCTCAAAATAAAACTTCTGCAAATCCACACAAAAATAATGCTATAGCCAATATAAACATAGGCACAGATATGAGCGGGTAAAGCTCAGTTGTCTAACAATTACATGAATAAAAGTTCAACACCATTAGAAATAAAAAGAACTGAAATTTAAATAGCAAGAAGATCCTATGTCATCCATTAGATTGATATAATTAGCATACTCCATAACATGAAGTACTGGAGAGGAGATGGGAATGAGAGAAAGTATTAGACACCACTGGACGGAATATCAACTAGTCCAGTAACTCTGGAAAGCAGTCCAGATGTATAGGGAAAATTCTGAGACTGTCCCACGATCCAGCAATTGGCTTCTGAGTGTATACATCTCAGGGTAATCACACTCAGACCTATCAGATAATAATGTGTACCTGAATATTCCTAGATGTAGTACTTTATATTAGGAATAATGACCATAATTAGGGAAAAATTTGTAAAATGAGATAGAGGTTGCCATTGTTTGCATCAAGCTTAACTGTATAAGTTTCAAGAGGGGGGAAACAATATGACTGTGGGAGATTAAAGATGGAGCCTTTGGTAGGTGTTTAGAAGTAGATATATTCATGATGGTAGAGCCCCCATAACTGAATCCTGCTGGCTTTACGAGGGAGAGGGAACAGAAAAGACACACACACACAACCACACAGGCTCCCTATCCCTTGTCATGTAATATCCTGTGCCACCTCAGGACTCTACCACCAAAATGGCCATCATCAAATGTGGCCCCTTAACCTTACACCTCCTAAACTGTATGCCAAAATAAACTTATTTTTTATACTTACCACCCAGTCTGTGGTGTTATGTAATTAGCCACAGAATACAGACCAATAGAGGCATACTATGAAAATCTATACAACTATCTAAAATATCAAACTGTACATAGAGTAATAGGTAAAATACAGATTTGTGAGTATTTACTGCATCATTCCACTAAACATGGCATATTTTCTTCAAGAAGTTAAAGGTTGTGGTAGTTGTCTTTTGGAGAAGAAACTAAGTGATTAAGGAGAGTAATAAAATCGAGTCTTGCACACACTGATGATGCTTTACTAAAACCTGAAAAGTATAATCATCTCAACTTTTCACCTGAAATTTAAATACACACACACACATACACACTCTCTAAGTTTCTCCTGAGTTCAGCACATTCCAGAAAGCTCTATCTGTAGTAGGGATCCTGGAGCAAAATCATCTAATCTTTTAAATATTTTTGGATTTATACCTCAGTGATTTAAACTCAGGATTATTTTTGCCCCACCTCCAGGGACAACTTGAAATTATACTGCTATTAGCACCACCTGGCCCCGTGGGTGCTGGTAGGAATCACACATAGATAGGTGACCAGAACATCTGGACACATCTTTCCCAAAAATACCTTTGCTCTTTCCACGTACCTGTGCTACATGACTCATTTCCCTATTGGATCAATATCAGCTAAGTGACTATACTTGTAATACTATAGGTTTATTGTAGTTTGACCAAAATTGTACCTGTGTTGTGAACTTGCTGTATAAATTACCCCTGACAAAGGGGATTGGTGGCCACCCACTCAGGACGCCTCTTGGAAACCCAGGAGCCATTCTTATTTTCAAGAAAACACTCCTAACTTCCTTCTTTGGTTTAGAAGCAGGAACTTGGACATCTGATATCTAACAGGTTGGGAGATATTTTTCCCACATCAAAAGGACATGTTATGTCACTTCAACATATCCTGGTTTTATCATGCTGCTAATGGTGGTGGTATTTTAGCTTGCTTCGTTTCTTTTCTTTTCTTTCTTTTTAAATGGAATAAAAAGGTCTTAATGTCTCTGCAAAGACATTATCACTCACAATTTACTGCAGCAGTAACCTAATCTTAATGTGTTCAGACATCAAAGCAGACTTTTGCTTTTCCACGTTAAAAAAAATTGTAATTCTTAAGAATTGAGACTTAAATTTGCTTTCTTAAAAAGTTTTTTAAAAAAAGATGGAAAATACGGGTACATCTGCACTTTTTTCTAAGATACAGCCTCACCTCTGCTATCCTGGATTTGAATAACCAGGTACTGTATTATCCTTTAGCAATTACATTTCTGTCTCTTTAAGAACTGAAAGGGAGGAGGCGGGACTCCGCCCTGCCGCAGGCTCTGATTGGTCCTGCTGGCAGGAAGTGGGCGGGGAAAGCGCCGCTTCTGTTATTGTCCGACGCTGCCCCGCGTGAGGCCTTGGTGACCGAAGGTGTCAGTTCGCAGCCTCCGCCTGTGCTCTGACTCGCGGGCGTGGGGACGTGGGGCGCAGGACGGGCCGCGTTCATTCCTGTGGGTTCCGGGCCCTCGCTGCCTGTTCGCGGAGGTGCCGCCCCACCCCCCCGGGCCGCAGTGGCCGCGAGTCTGCTGCAGCGCCGACGCGGGCGGCGGGAAG